AAGGCGTTGGTAACTCACCACTTTTTACTTCTTGTAAGAGATAAACAAATTTGTAAAAAACACAGCTTGTCATATTCATTTCTGTCACCACCCAGTATGGGCTTTTTAATCATTTCTATCATTTTATACCCTGGGAACATTATATTTGCTTCCTTGAAAAGTCAGAAGTCCATAGTCACAAAGGAGTCTTTTGTTGTGGAGATTTTGCTAAGACCTTGCTGAATTAATGACATTCATCTGTAGAATTCTGAATGGGAGACATCACATCCATCCAAAGATCTCATTATAATGTATGTTAAAATACAACTAAAAATGGACAAGGTCTCTTTGATAAGTTGGGTAAAAGCAACTTTGAGCACTGCCCAGGACATATTCGCGGGGTTCCCAGTCGGTATACTGTGTCTGCCCCTCGCGTTCTTTGCCCATGTCTTGACTTTCTTTCATTCGCTTTGACAGAATAATGATGTCTGATTTCACAAATTGATGGCATGTACTCCTTACCACTTTTCAAATTTTTTTCTTCTCATTTCCTTTTCACTTTCCAAATTCCCTTTAAGTAGCTCTTACAAAAACTTCTGACAGTTAAATTCCATTAAGTGTATCAGTTATCTCTGTTGGAAAGGTACCCTTTCCGTTTTGTTGTAATGAACTTTTCCCTTATTATGGCCATCATCTTTATTTCGATATTTAAAATAAGTATCACCTTCTCGTATCTTTATTGAAAAGATTAAACATTAAACAATAAATTTTCTGCAGTCATCTTATTTTTCTGTGATTTATTACTACTAAAGAAAGTAGTCTTATAAGTCTATAAGGCACTGAGTTTTAGCTTTACCAGTCTTTACATTAATATAAATGAATTCAAGTGTTTGTGAAAGCCAGACTCACAAGGGAGATCCTTTACATTATTTTCAATAGACCTGAAAGCTGAAAGAATTTACTTTTTTTATCTAACTGGAAAGTAAGTGGCAATATATAGTACAAAACAGAGTTACTAACATCCGATGGGTCAGCAGCCTGAATTTACCTTCATTTTCGGAAGAGCGCAAGGAACTATGGAGATGGATTACAGGTGCTCTGGTGGTGGGAGAACTGTAGGGCCTACACCTGAAGGAGAAATCAAATACTATACAAAAATGAATAATGATGTAAGAAAATAAATAAATTTTAAAACTAAACAAACAAAAAAACCACAAAACATACTTATTCTCCTTTTCAAGAAATTACCCATAAAATCTCCCAGCTACTTAATCAAACACACCAAATATGATGCAATGGAAGCCAGCCCAGATAACTATGAAATACAAGACATACGGGCTTTTCTTGGCTTTTAGATTAGAGAAAAGGGAAGAAAATTTTTAGGATAAATTTTTTCATGGGGATAAAAATCCTGCATTTACCTCTAGCTTTCTTTTTGTTCATCTAAAGATCCTTTTCTCACCTGCTCAGCTTGTCTATATCCTCAGATGTAGTCATAACAGAGGAGTTGAGTGTAGAGAGGTGGCAGTGGGATAGGTAAATCAGTCAGGCAAACCAGCCAGGATCCAGCAAAAAACAAAAAACAAACATGCAACTAAACTGAGGAGAATTTGATGAAATTGCTTATTACCTGAGATGTTGTAGATGGGGTTAAGAAAACAAAAATTGGGCCTCCCTGGTGGCGCAAGGGATTAAGCCTCAGCACTATAAAGCCATTGGCAGCCCTGTAGCCTGAGTTCATTCCCCAGCCAGGGAGTTAAGTGATCGTGAATAAATATACTGGAGACAATGTCACAACTTTTTGAGAAATGATATTTCATATGAGATGATGATGTGTCCTACGCTGATTCACAAATATAGAAACTATGCGCTTCTGGAATTTATGGAGGGTACTAAGCAGTTCAATGATAATAAACCTCCTTTGGCAAGGTGATCAGAGAAAGGCCCCCAGAGAAAGCTGAATTCCTAGGATGTTAAATCCCAAAAGATTGAAAAAGAGATTAACTCTGAGATATATTTCCAATTGTGTAAACTGAGAACTTATACAAACAGAAAAATATCCTCCTTTATGAAACCAAGATGGACCAAGAAAGAGCAGGCTATTTTACTAGGGTGTTTAAACTATTGCTGAGTACCAAAGCTCAGAGAATTCTAAATTCTATGGTGAAAAGCTGTTTTTTTTTGTTTGTTTTTGTTTTTTTTTTAGCTATACTCCCTAAAAGTAGAGAGTGTAGGCCCTCCCTGGTGTGCAGCGGGTTAAAGCACTGCACTAAGAAGCTTAAACCACTTCTGTGTGAGTTCGATCCCCACCTGCCCCAGAGGAAATCCACATGGCGCGGCAGACCTCTCCTGACCTGCCTGCTGCTCCCCTCAGCAGTGTACTTCGTCAATCTGCCTGTTCTGCTCCCCACTCTGTCTCTGGTGAATCCTCTTACCCACCACATCTCTGGGTTGTATCCCAGTTCTGTATGAGTAAATAAATAAATCTTTAAAAAAAAAATAAGTAGAGAGTATACACTCACCCAAATACACAAAATGATCAATAAAATTGGCATGGGACCTGTCTTCATAGAAGTTAAGCTCTAGAAGTCTATACTAATTTTATTAGAGAAATTTACACATCAATGACATTTACAGTTGTTTATTATCTAGTGATAGTGACTGTTTTTATTACTAAGTTTATTGTACTTAATTTTGAAAAGTTTTTATTGTTTCTTCCTCATGGACTTTGATAAAGTTTTCTTTTTGATCTAAAAAATTTTCTTTGAGAACAAGAAGGAAAAATACAAACATAAGAAGAGGAATTGCAGCCAATATTTTTTGGAGTAGATATTATCTATTATTATGCAGTGTGTTGTAAGGTAGTCCAAATGAAAAAGATTTCAGGAGACTTTGATAACAGACATTTGACTTTGACAATTTCCAATCCCTATTTATGATTTAAGTCAGATTATAGTTAAGACATGGGGTAGAAGTCAAGAAAGCAGAACCAATTGACTTCAAAAATATTTTTAGGAAACTGCCTAATAAGGGAAAGTCCTTACCATGGGCTAAAAGTGCCAATGAAATCAAGTAGGGAAATCTACCATGGGCTAAAAGTGCCAATGAAATCAAGTAGGCCGTGAACATAAGAACTAGAAGTAAGTGATGATCTGAGTTTACAAAATAACATATTTTGAAAAGCTGTTTGATCAGAAACAAGGAGTTTGTAATAGATGAATACAGTGAGTCTTCACTTAACATCATCAGTAGCTTTCTGAGAACTGCAACTTTAAGTGAAATGACATATAACAAAAGCCAGTTTGATTCCACACCTGATAGAATTTGAGGTTGAAAGAAATTATGTCATTCATGGGCCTGCTATACAGGAAATGAGGAAATAATGCTGCATGTGTCAAAAGGACATTTGAATGGAGTAGAAATGAGAGCATTTACTTTCAACACTCATTAATTTTTCTTCATGGATTGGAAAGTAGGGAAATCTGAAAGCCATGAAGGGCAGGAGGTTTAGAACATACCAGTGTATTATTGCAAACCATGTAGAAGATAAACTCACAGCTATTTATCAATGAACTCCAGTTAAAATGAGAAATTATGAACAAATGATGCTTGCAATCTCCATGCTTTTACACCTTTCCCAGATTGTTCCACACTTAGAGGATGACACAGAATCCAGAATTGATCCAGACATGAGGATAGATGAACTATGATATTTAGAATTTTATAAAACTAATTAAAATCAACTTTAAATATAAGAATAATTCAATTAGAGGGTTAGAATGAAAACCAGCTCTGGCAATATAATGTAAGGACTGTTTTTACTTTGAAAATTAGACAACGTTCATAGTTTCTGATTGAATCCTAACATTTTCAAACTATCGCCACCTATGTGAACTATCACAATCAAAATATTCATGTTTCTGAGGATCAAGCTTTAAAAGCTGGGGTTTGGTTTTCTGCTTTTAGAATTAATTTTTCTCCAAGCATGAGTCTGAATTTCCAGTAATGGGTTCTCTGTCTCCTCCACCTAACAACAAGTGTGGCATAGTGAGAGGAGGACAAGCAGATGATGTATGTTGTCAATATATTCAAAACTAAAACCACTAAAATTGCTAATGAAATGTACTAGAACAATTATCTGAAGCTTTTCTTTTTGGAAAACAGAAGACTCAGAATATACAGCAACCGGTTTCCGATCCCAGTTTCACAGACACAATAAAAACTTTCCACTACAACATGTTAGCTAGAATAAGAAACTAAGATCAACTTGACCCTCTTATAAATGATAAAATCAATTAAGACTCTCTTTTTTTGGGTTCACAGATAGGCATCAATGACTTTTAAAAGTTACTTCCAATTGTATGTATGTGTAAGAATGTTTGTATATTGCTTCTCAGGGAGTGATCTTCAGCAGCGGCAGCCTCTAAGCTGTAGATAGGAATATATCTATGGGATGAATATTCAAACTTTGGAAGCAAAGAGTTATTCTTGACCTTTCCTGTGCCATTATCTCTCAAAGTCTTATTCTTCTGAACCATGGAATGTTAGACTTCAAGCCCTTGCACTGCTATTTGTTAATATTGTGGGTATTGATGAACCCCTTCCCTCTTCTTGGTTTCAGATTTTGATGGAAAAATACAGGATGTAAAAGCATGTAAGTGACTTAAAACTGTAGTTTCTTTAACTGTGACTGTATGAGCCTTTCTTCGATCTTTGTAGAGGGTAACACAGCAGATCTAGCCTAATGCACAAGGTTAGAAATCCATGCCTGGAGGTATGAAAGGGCCAATAAATGCAAAAATTCCTAGGATTATTCAGAGACACTTTTAACATAAGTAGGAAATTTAAAATGCTGAACATCTTGACATCCTTTGTGACTTATTATTCTTGGAAATGACCTAGGGTATTCTATGGAGGACATAATTCCCCTATTGAGACCTCTTTCCAGTCTCAAATACTGAAGATTGTACAATTTGGAAAGCTTCTTTACTTTGGGGCTAAGTTCCTTTTACATTCTTGAGTCATTCAGATGTCTTGACCCCAGCTCCCTGCCCTCTTTGAAACACCCTGACAACTTTTTCCCGAATCTCTTTCGTCTTAACTCCATACACTACAGGGTTCAGGGCAGGTGGGAAGAGCAGATAGACATTGGCCAAAAGAATATGAATATGAAGTGGAACATGATGACCAAACCGATGGGTAAAAAAGGAGAAGAGGGCTGGAGTGTAAGAAATTAGGATGACACAGACATGGGAACCACAAGTCCCAAGGGCCTTAGAGCGAGCTTCATGGGATGAGAGGCGGAAGACTGCTTGTGCAATGAGGACATAGGACAGACCAATGCAGAACAAGTCCACTCCAATGACCAACAGGGCTGCCGTCAGCCCATACACGCGGTTAGGTTTGGTGTCTCCACAGGCTAGCTTCACTACAGCCATGTGCTCACAGTATGTGTGTGGGATCACATGACTTTGGCAGAAGTTCAAGCGTCTTATGAGGAAAGGACATGGGAGCATAAGCATGGACCCCCGCATCATTGCCACCACTCCAATGCGTGCAATGATGGTGTCAGTGAGGATCGTGGCATATCGGAGTGGGTGGCAAATGGCCACATAGCGATCAAATGCCATGGCAAGCAGTACAGTGGACTCCATCATGCAGAAGGCATGAATGAAGAACATCTGTGCCAGGCAGGCAGTGGCAGAGATGTGTCCAGCTCCACACCAGAGGATGGCCAGAAGCTTGGGGATGGTGGAGAAGGAGGCAGCCAAGTCAATAGTGGAAAGCATGCAGAGGAACAGGTACACAGGCTTGTGCAAGGCTGGTTCAGTAGCAACAACAATCAGGATGGTTATGTTGCCCACAATTGTGGCTGTGCCCAGGCAGCACACAGGGAGTGAGAGCCACAGGTGGAACTGTTCCAGACCTGGGATGCCCAGGAGGAAGAACACAGCAGGATCCAGGTTTGTGTGGTTGGGAGACTCCATGGTGTGGCCAAGTGTTTTGAGCATCTTTCCTGTCAGAAGCCCCCACACAATATCAAATTACCTAAAGACAACAGAGAAAAGGATGTCAATGAGAGTAGAGGGATGGTCAGTAGTTATGTAATAGGCCATCTTTATCATTATAAAAGAAGGGCAATAACTGTTCTCTGGAGTTATGAAAGGCTTGTAAATAATTAGTATTTGTAAAGAGTGTGGAATGGTGCCTGACACATACTAGTAAAATAAAGTGAATGAGACAAAGGACTCAAATAAGCACTTAAGTTAGAATTGTCTTCTACCTGCGGTCTGGCCAAGGTCTAAAATTCTCAAAGATGAACAGGATCTATCTCTTTCTGTTCATTCTTCTCAGAAATAGACTCCACCCTCCCCCACATATGCAAACAAACACACACACACACACTTTTATGGAGCATGAGAAGATATTAGGTGGAAAGATCAGTGCTGCCAACATAGCTCACTAGATGACATTGGATATCATTTTTCTTGTTAGAATATCTTTTGGGGGGCTCTCCCTGGTGGCACAAAAATTTAAAGCACCGCATTATGAAGCTCTCAGAAGCCACTGAGAGCGATCCCCTGCCAGGGAGCTTACCTACATGGTGTGACAGACCTCTCCTGACTCACCCACTGCTCCCCTCAGCAGTGTACTTTGTCAATCTGCCTGTTCTGCTCCCCATTCTGTCTCTGGTGAATCCTCTTACCCACCACACCTCTGGCCTGTACCCCAGTTCTGTAAGAATAAGTAAATAAATCTTTTTTTTTTTTTTTTTTAAAAGACTGTATTTTGGCTTAGGAACTAGTGCTTAGTCATTATTTCTGACATTAACATCATCATTTCCACTCCTATCACTAACCAAGAGATATTTTCCCTATCCTCAATCAACCAATCTGAAATTTCATGAGATGCTTCATTTACGACTTCAACGCACCACAGGTATATTTGAGAGACAAAACAAAGTCACTTTCCACTCCCCAACATGTTGGGATCAACCTTCTTTAGGCCCCATTCCATTTCTGAAACAGAACTTCCAACCTTTTACAGCCCATCCCAGGATTAATGCAACTCCATGATTTATCTGTTTGTTAACAATTTCAAAGAAAGGAACCCTTTCCCAAAGTGAAGAGGTGATTTTATAAGATGGCTGTCCCCTGGCTGGTGAGTGATGACTTGTCTGTCTTTGTGGAAAGATCTTATATTCCTGTCTCCCTATGCCATCTAGTGCATACCTCCATTCTCTAAGAGGACACAAACTTCTTTTTAAATGCTTAAAAAGCATTTAAGCTAGAAGAATTATGCAGAATATGTGAAATCATGATGGTAATAGGATAGAAGCAAAGGTTTAATCATTAAATTTAAAACTGAGAAATCATGGTATCTGGAAGTATTCAAGTGAGAAGGAGAATGTTACTACTGTAAATTCATATCTATTCCTCAAACACAAATATTTAAAGTTAACTGCTTCTAAACCAGCCCTATTCTACAAGCTGGACTATAAAAATGACTATTAGTAAACACTGATTGCAGGAAATTGTGTTATATAATATTTATCAACTGGGAATCAACTCTTCCCACAGCTCTTTCTTTATTCTAGTTGGGCATATGTCAGATAAGAAGAGAGGTAAACTCCTTTTCCTTTACAGATCAAATACTTTGTGTACATAATCACTGGGAAAGAAATAAGAGAAACTTCATCTTGGGATGGCCCAGTCCTTGCTTATGGAGTTGGTAGATTTAAGAGAAGAAACAAAGCCAACATAGCTCAAACATGCGGGTAAACAAGATGACTCTTGTTTGTCCTCACAGACACAGTGACCTGCAAGAGGAGAGGTTGGTGACAAGTGCTATTCTAGCACAAGACCAATAAACCACATAATCGCCACAGAAATGGAGAACTGTAGCTCACACCACCACAGCATACAGATGAAGGGTCTTGTGAACACATTGTTCTGTGAACTTTTATTGGGAAAGATAGAGATCTTAGACTCTGATTAACTTGAGCTAGGGTCATACCTCTCTTATGGAAGAGCATATCAAAGTAGAAGCTTGGGCTTGTCAGAAAATGTGACCATTGCTCATGTGATTTGAACTCTCTAGATCTTTGGACAGGTGTGTACTCCAGCTTTTATGTTTGACTTCACATAATCTTTTAAGAAACAGGATACTTTAGAGCCACAGAGTTGAGAACTTCTAAAAGCAGGAAGATAGGTTGGTAAAACACAGACCGGAAGTCATCAAACTGGAAACAAAGATTTTATATGTATTTGCATTTCTTACTGGCAGTAATTCCTTGGACAAGTCAATTTTCCTCTCAGATTTAAAAGCTTTTGGATCTACAATATGGTGATAGTAATGAGTTTAGGGTTGTTGAAATTTAAAGAGAAGTACCTAGTAAAATGTGTAACCCAGAGAAATTCCTCAAACAATACTACTTACTATTATTATTGCCTTCATTTTAATAGGAAAGTGATCTCCTATCCAATACGGGATCATCACTGTTTCCTGAACCAACTAATCTTAGCTTGAACTTTTATTTAATGAAAACTGTCATTATGGGGAAAATTTGCTTATAAAATAAATGTCCTATGTAATTGTTTTCTTATGCCCTTTAGAGGCCACATGTCAATCAGGAGGAGAGCTGGAGAGTAGCTTCCCTGGTTGTTCCCTGGTTGACAAAGATTTGCTCACTGAAATAATATGATTGCTTGATAAACTGAGTCAACACAGATCAGAGCTGGAGTCAGAGATGGATGCAGCCAATCCCTGCTCTCTACCCCACCCAACCCTGTAGTTTACTTTAGCCATTCTTACATTCCCCTCTTCTCACAATTTACTTACCCATAGCTAAGAGATTTAACTTCTGCACTGAGGTTTATTCCTGACCTTTAGGTGTCTGACTATACTGTTTGACTTTTTTCTTGTTGAAGATGAACTAAGAACAGATGGCCACATATCACTTGATAAAATTGACTCCTAATTTTTTTGCTGTAAGTGAATATTATTTGCAGTAACTGTAGTTTCTTTCTAAGGAATCCCACCCCTTCAAACACCCCAACCCTTTCATAAGAGTATGTCCTCTTATTCTCTCAGTCCCATCACCATTCTGTACAATTACTAGGAATAAGTCTGTAGTATCAAACCATCTCTTATAGAAAATATTTTATGATGTTAATGAATATTTGTGCCCATTTTTAATTAGAACTCAGTCTGAACCTATCCCTCTGACTTTATCTCTAATCCCATTTTTATTGTGCCATTAAATCTAATGCTTTCAGTAAGCTAAAAATGCCAGCATCACAGTTTAAGGAAAAGACAAAGGATGGAGAAATCTTTCCATGTCTGAAACTGCAGTCCAAACTAATGGTTGTATTTTTGCTGTACAAAAGCGTAGATAAACTTGGGTTTTCTGCACCCATTTTGAGAACAACAGACCATGAAAAGGCTTAAGTTAGTCATTTTAGAACTTGAAAAAGTTTCCTTGAAAAAGCTCAAGGAAATCATTAAGGTTCCACTGATTCTCCCTGCCCAGTTTCTTGATGTGAATCTCTATACTGTCTGTCTAGCTCATAGGCACATACAATTCTCTTGATGCTTAGAGAATACTTATTTCTTGATAGTAACTTCAGCAAGATCACAGTAAATGTCTTGAACTTTCTTCACAATGCCTCCCACTGGTCTGGCTAACATATCACTTATTTCTTCCTTTGCCCTCAGCTCCTTACTCTGCTTCTAATGTTATATTAAAACTCCTATAGTTAGAACTAACTAAACCCTAAATCAGATTATGGGGAGCTGTTAATTCACAAAAACCCCTTTATTGTTCCCTGTCTCTCAATGTTCCTTCTTCTAGTAAATATCCCACCCTCAGTAGCACAGATTGTTTGATATTAGGGAAAGTAAAGAAAGAAAAGTCTTGCCCAAGTTATTGCCATAACTCAAACTCACATGACCCCAGACAGCAGAAATAAGAAGGCACAGTGATATGGAAGCATCCTCAAAAGAGCATTTCTGAATACTGGACTGTGAGGTTGTTATACTAGCAAGACCTATCTTACAGTCCCACCTGAGAGCTTAATGGCTAGTGTCACCTAGGGAACTTCTATGTTCCCTAGGGAATTAGGCAATGAAGTTTTTTCTCTTCTAGTTGGCCAAATGAAAATATAGAGATGAAAGCAAAGGATTTTATTAAAGAAAAAGAGAAGAAATTCATAGCCTACCCTCTTGAAATTGTTTCTTTTTTGGTCTAAAATGCCCATATATTAGTGCTGGCACTATTTATCAAAGGGCACCTAGCATACTTAGGGCCACTTGGAATATGGATTCCTCCACTCCCAGTGCAGCTTCATCTCAAGGATTTCAGGATAGTTTCCCTTCCCAGTACCTTCTATGGTTTTCTCTGCCTTATTTCTCCTGTTTGCTCCTCCTCGTAACTGTATTTTTTAAAAAAGATTTACTTTTTGAAATTAGATCACTACTTTGCACCATACACAGAAATCAACTAGATGTGGATTAAAGACATAAAAATAAGAACAGAAACCATAAAATACCTGGAAGCAAAGATGGGCCAAACACTATACGACATACACTTCAGCAACATCTTTAAAGATAGAGTACCCAATGCAACGATAGTGAAGGCAAGGATAAATAGATGGGACTACATCAAGTTAAAGAGTTTCTGTACAGCAAAAGAGACATTACAAAAGACAAACAGACATCCCACTGATTGGGAAAAATTTTCTCACACAAAACTAGCAATAAAGGATTGATCACAAAAATATACAGAGAACTGATGAAACTCAACAAAAATAAAGTAAACAAACCCATCAAAAAATGGGCAGAAGAGCTACAAAGACAATTCTCCAAAGAGGAAATGCAGATGGCCAACAAGCATATGAAAAAATGTTTAACATCACTCGTAATAAGGGAGATGTAAATTGAAACCACAATGAGATACCACCTCACCCCAGTGAAAATGGCACATCTCCAAACAACTAGCAACAACAAATGCTGGCGAGGATGTGGAGAAAAAGGAACTCTCCTGCACTGCTAGTGGGAATGCAAACTAGCACAACCACTATGGAAAACTGTTTGGAGGTTCTTCAAACTGCTAAACATGGAGCTTCCCTATGACTCAGCAATCCCACTCTTAGGTATCTACCCAAAAGACACAAAAACACCGATTCAGAAAGATACCTGCACCCTATGTTTGTTGATGCTTTATTCACAATTGGAAAGACATGGAAACAACCCAAATGCCCAAAACTGGATGACTGGATTTTTAAAAATGTGGTACATATACACCATGGAATATTACTCAGCAACCAAAAAAAAAAAAAAAAAGAAACACATGTTTTTTGCAGCAACATAGTTAGAGCTGGGAAAGATCATGCTTAGCGAAATAAGCCAGAAAGAGAAGGAAAAATACTGGACGGTTTCTCTCATAGCAGGAATATAACGGAACAGGTGACAAAATAATGATAATGATGATGAACAGCTATATACCAGAGACATTTTGTGGGGGTAGAGTGGGGAATGGGATCAAAAACAGTGCAGGAGGGAAGTGCACTGGACTATGGTGATGGCACATGGGTGACTTGGTAATGGGAAACCCAAGGGGCTTGCAACTGAGATGGAAAAATGCACAAAAATATGTAAAAATAAACTATTATAAAACTAAAAAAAAAAAAAGTTCTAGGGCCAGGGATCACACAGACGTAGAAGACTATTGCATCATGCCACATTTGATTTCTTGGCCATGTATATGTATTTTTTTTAAGATTTATTTATTTATGCATATAGAATGGGGTATAGACCAGAGTTGCAGGGGTGGTAAGAGGATTCACCAGACACAGAATGGGGAGCAGAACAGGCAGACTGAGGAAGTATACTGCTGAGGGGAACAGTGGGCGGGTCAGGAGAGAGCTACCACGCTATGTGGGTCACCTCCGGGGTGGGAATCGAACTCATGCTGAGGTGGCTTCAGCCTCCCAGTACTGCGCTTTAACCCCCCATGCCACTATATATGGGAGGGCCCATATAGGCATTATTTTAACAACAAAATGAACATTTAATATTCTTATGTAAAGAAGAAGGCTCAAAAGTGAAGGATTGAGGAGTTAGTCACATCTATAAAAGCTCTTTTCACTCTAGTTCTTTTAAATATTTTTTAAATAATATGGTCTAAGTTTCCCTGAGTTAGTTATAAATGTGAAAGGGGGGGGGAGGGTAGTTCTCTATAAGGATAGATAATGAAACTGAGGTTAAATGGTTAAATTACTCTCAGGCATTACAGCACAAAAGAAAGAAAAAAGAGTGTCTAATTTTCCTTTTGAGTCTTATCTACAAGTGATAGGACCTTCACTTGAAAACAAACAACTCAACCTGAGCCTGATTCAAGGGTGACCAAAGCCTTTGTGGGAGGGGTGAAAATGGGACAGACTGGTCTGTGGGGAGGAGAGGGAGAATGGAACAGTCTGCCAACGTAAAAGATCTGGTTATTTGAAAAAAACCTCTTGATGTGAACCAATTTATAACTAACCTAATGAACATCAGGTGAATCTTCATGTCTTTGTTGCTGCCTGTTAGCCAATATAACTTAACTCATTTTTTCAACCCCATCTCTCCAACTCAAAGGAATCCTCTCCTCTTTGCTGGATGGAAAGGCAAGTTTAAGTTTTTCACCTAACTTTTTGCCAGTTGGTGTTCAACAAAACTTTTCTCAAAGCCTGATGTTATAGTAATTGGCTCGGGCAACAGCCCCCTTGCTAGGTAACAATGATTTTAGTACTAAAAGTTGAAAAAAAATTCTTTTTGATAGGACCACAGTGTAAACTTCCTACTGATCTGAAAGTCCACAGCCTCCTGTAAGGTCTTGGTCATACTGGTTGCTACAAAAGATGCCACTTCATCCCCTAGGTCACACATTTAATTCAGCTACTGCTGCTGTGACCAGTTTCATGTCGGTGTAATTAGACAGTCAACCCCAGGTCACAGCTAGTACCTGTAGCTTCCTAACATGCAGCTCCCCTGACCCCAGGATGGGACACCCCTAACAATCAACTCTGCCCTTAAGCACACACCATGCAGTTCTGGGAAGTTGACATAAACGGGGTGGATTATGATCCCCACGTGAGCTGCTGGGCTTAATTCTTTCATACCCAGGAAAAATATTCTGAAATGTATTTCATAAGGTTCTTGGGATAGTCTGGGTAGCTGGACATCAGCATCAAATAGAGTGTACCACCAGATGAATTAAAAACCCTGAGTTGCCTTTCCTTCTTCCCTTTCCTATTCCACATGTTTCACTCCTTGTGATCACATAGGCAAGGTTTTGTCTTATGTCCTGTTTTCTGAGGACCCAGGTTTAGTCTTTCAATGTTGAAAATCTTTTACCTCCATAACTAGACACTTGTCATAAGGGTTACCTCCCAGTAAGTTATTAGAAATCATTTATTTATATAACTATTATTATAGTACTATCTGAATGGTTATTTATAATTTATTATTTGGGAACTGGAAACAATTTCCTGTTCTCTAAGTTTAAAGGAGATAGTAAAAAATGGTTCCTGGCCCTCCCTGGTGGCCCAACAGGTTAGGATGCAAGCCACAGACACTTCAGTGCTAGTTTGATCCCAGCCTCAGAGGAGATCCACATGGTGCAGCAGACCTTTCCTGACCTGCCCACTACTCCCCTCAATAGTGTACATCGTCAGCTTACCTGTTCTGTACCCCACTCTGTCTCTGGTGAATCCTCTCACTGCCCCTGCACCTGTGGCTTGTACTTCAGTTCTGTATGCATAAATAAATAAATCTTAAAACAAAACAAAAAAGTGTTCCCTGTATTAATATAACCTCCAAGTAGGTAATAGACCAGCAGAAAGTGATTTAAAGTTGACCAAAATTTGAGCATTTTTCTAGCTTCTGCTTATGTACAAATAATGTTCTAGACATAAAAAGAAAATTTCATCTGTCACATTTTCAGCCAGCACATAGGCATCCACTTCATCCTGGAGTTACAACAGTCATAGATTAATAACTCTTTTAGAAAAGAAAAAGTTCAAAAAGAAAAGACACACACACAGTCAGGATTCCTTCTTGTATTTGCCAAATTTGTTCCATTTCCCTCAGTTTTCCCAGGAGCAGCTGCACTACTAGTTTCCTACAACAATTTTCCACATATGTACAATGTTTACATATTAAATAAATATTTTATCAATAATTTCAGTAAAAATAGAACTTTTTTTTTTACAAAATATCTCACCAAAAATCAAAATGAAAATAAAATAAGTGAGAGGTAGATGATATTTTTTAACATGTGGACTTTGCTACTGGACCTGAAACCCTATTTCCATTGGATGGGGTCACTCTCAAACCTCACAAAAAAGTAGGTTTTGCACTACTTGGCATGCTTTGGACTCACTTACAGTCTGCTAATATTCTGTCAAATGATTAATGACAAAACCTTTAACTGAGAGTTGTTTGTTTGTGTTGTATTTGTGGTGAGCTAAATATCTATTCTTGCTATTCATTTTAGAGAGACAGTATTCTGTTTTTTAACTGTGACTGCTTCCTGCAACTTTTCTCCATTTAAACAAAAGTTATTTCCTAGTTAATCTTCTTCTTCTTTTCTAATCTCCTGAAATTTGTGTGTTTTATTTCAAGCACTGAAATGCTCACCTTCCTCAACCTTGTTAGTAAACTGTTCAGTGTGATATATGTCTTCACCCTTATTATACCTGGTGTTGCATAATGTAGAAATCTCTTTCATTTCCCTAAAGTTGATATATTTAAAGAGTCTCTTTAAATGATGATAATGTGGCCTCATGGTTAGTTATCCTTTCATCTGAATTCTGCTTTTGCAAATTATTTCTACAATATGATGAAAAAATTAGCATCTTCCTGGCTTCAAAATTCATGCATCTTGAAATATTGCCACTATGTCTTAAATTATTATCTGGCAGGGATAAACAATATCTTCTGAACTTGAGTTGCTATAGTGGGCACAGAACCTGAGCTCTATAAGCTGCCCCAAACACTTGTTCAAAACTTCCCAAGCTCCCAGAGAAATTGCCAGAGAACTGACTTTTATAGCCACAACCATTAGCAGAATTTCTCGGAATTGCTTCTTTATAAAAGATCTTATTAGACACTGGGATTCGTTGAGACAAGCAAGAGTTGACTCTAGGAATTTTTACAAGTTTAAAAGTTGTTACTATGCCTAACAACCTTTTAAACTTAATAGTGTCCCATTTTTCTAAAATTTTTCTAGGAACTGGAGGTCATGTTTTCTGTCCATAGTCCCTACACCAACAAAGAAGCAACAGCCCTGTTGCCCCACTATAAGACTTCTCTAGCAAGGATAATAAAATGATGACTCTAAATACAATTAAATACTTTAACTTCTCTCTCACTCCAAAATGCACTTATACTTCTCCTTCAATACACCAAATATAGTTAGACATCCTTACCCTCACATACATCTTGTCATGGCAAAGAGGCAAAATGAAAAGTATTTGCTCTTATGTTCTTTCCATTGGGAAGCATTCTACCTTATTTTACATGCATTCAGTATAGCTGTTCAAGTGATTTCAAATATATTTTCACACATAATTTGCCCAATTAGAATGTCAGATATGAAGTGATATCATTATTCTCATTTCATGGGGTATAACTGCTTTGCTTTGGAGTTAGAGGGAGATAGTTCTATGTCTTATCCTCTCTGAGGAGTTGACTTTCAATCAGCAATGTGACATTTTTCTATCACTAGTCCATTCCCCCAGGATCTGCAACTCTCAACATTTATTCTGTACTCCTGCCATTGCTGGATGGATGATCAGACAGGCTTCTGACCCCAGCAACCATATTTGGTCAATTTGTCCCGAAATTCCTTGGTTTTCACTGCATAAATAATAGGGTTGAGCATTGGTGGGACAAGGAAGTAGAGGTTACCAAGAATGGTGTGGACATGGGGTGGAATCCCCCTGCCAAAACGGTGAGTGAGAAAGGAGAAAAGTGAGGGCGTGTAAGAGATGAGCATAACACAGATGTGTGTGGTGCAAGTGTTCATGGCTTTGTGGTGGGCTTCCTTGGAGGAGAGCCGCATGACAGCCCGGATAATTAACACGTAAGATGAGGCAATTGCTGAGAGATCCAGCCCAACGACAAATAATGCCACCACCAGGCCATAGAACCTGTTAACTGTGGTGTCCACACACACCATCTTCACCACCGCCATGTGCTCACAGTAGTTGGTGGGGATGACACGATTGACATGGAAGGGCATTTGCTGCAGCAGGACAGGCATGGGGAGAATGAATAGGATGGCTCTCACTAAACTCACAAGGCCAATGAACCCGATGCGGCTGTTGGAGAGGATGGTGGCATAGCGCAGGGGCTCACAGATGGCCACGTAGCGGTCCAAGGCCATGGACATCAGGATGGCAGACTGCATTGCAGAGATGGAGTGGATGAAGAACAGCTGGACCAGGCAGCCCTCAAAGCTGATCTCACGCTGGTCGAGCCAAAAGATACACAGCACCTTGGGGATGGTGGTGGTGGACATGCCCAGGTCTGTGAGTGCCAGCATGCCAAGCAGCAGGAACATGGGCTTGTGCAGGGAGCGCTCGGTGCCGATGGTGAAGAGGATGGTGCAGTTCCCAAGCACAGTGACAAAGTACATGGAGGAGAAGGGGATGGAGAGCCATCTGTGCAGATGCTCCATCCCAGGAACGCCTTGCAGAATGAAGAAAGAAGGATGGCCCTGGGTAGCATTACAGACAGTCATGGTAACGCCCTAGCCGGTATCTGAGAGGTGAATGAAGAAGCCATGTGACTTTCAATTCTAAAATGAATCAAGATTTTCAAAGTATAAGATAAAAGAGATTGATATGATACAAAAGTGATTCTGGAATCTTACATACCATATAATAAGAGTAGTATATTGTAATATTGCAGAAGTACTAATGTAGCATAACAGAATTAACAGCAAAGAAATAGCTCTTATAAAAGTCTTATTAAGGACACATTGATTCATTATACCTTAATGAAAACTATCATTAAATAAGTAAAATTATATTGTGTATAATTTTGCATGTGCCTCCATTTAAAGAAAATAATATGAAATAGGTGACACAAATGTTGATCTAAACACAAAGAAAAATTGACAAAACAGTGCAGATCTCTTTCAAAACCCAAAATGTCAGCTAGATTGATAACAACAACAAAAAATTCTTATTAAGATAACTTAAAACTTATAATAGAATCCTTCCAAAAATTGAACACACATTTTAAGGACCTTTGGGAAACTTTTTGATAAGGTTTTTGATAAGTGTAATGATAGCCAAGAAGGAAGCAGGTGGTGCAGGCTGCACAGCTGAAACTCAGAGATGAGCCTACCAGAATGTGAGCATAAAGGCCCCTCACGTGGAGCAACTTACCTGCATGTAAGGAGATGAGAAAGTGGGAAACTGGCCCCAGACACCTTCTTCAGAGGTGTATGTATGAGTGTGTGCACGTGTGTGGGTATAGGTTAGTAAAACCTCACATGGCTCTTGCAGCTCACACTCATGGCCCTGCATCTCCCCGCTCCTAACTTTCAGGCACCCAGAATCCATGGTGGGGTCCTTTAAGTAACCTAACTACAGGACCCAAGGGTGGCCAGAATTAGCTCTAGCTAGTCCCTTCTTCCCCAAACACAGACATAAAATTTCACTGCTATTAGGTTTAAAACTGACCCTGGAGGGTTCCCTGGGCTCCTAAGAGATAAGATGATAGGGATTCCGGGAATGCTCTAGTCTTTTTCAGTGCTGGAGAAGCCTGAGTAAAGAGGGGCAAAGTTAAAGCTGAGCCTGGGACTATTTCAGGCCTGCCTGTTTGTATACCAAAGACCCTCTTTCTGGAGAATATGCTTGTGTGAGGTCAGGGGAGGAACTTATTGCTAAGCAATCCATGCTCATAACAGCAAAAGCAGTACATCCCATGTTGCTGAGAACCCTGGTGAAATAGTCTGTCACCTCAAGTTTTGTCAATTCCTGTTCTCTTCCTGGTTTTCTTGCTCTGAACTCTTTCATGGTCATGGTTTTACCCCAGACATTCCCAGGGCATTTTCTGCAATACCAGTCACCCACTTTAGACACCATACCCACTCATGTCCCAGCATCCTTTCAATTCTGGCCGCAGATGTGGACATAGTCTATTCTTATTAGCTCAGAGGAAGAAAGTTATTAATGTCTGACCAGATATATATTTCCAAGTCCTCTGCAAAATGCACAGGACAAAATGGAAATCATAAAATGGTGCAATGACTAACAGATTTGGACTCAAAAAGCCAGATTCTAAATTTGGGTGTGCAAATTCTGCCTACATATGGTGTCAGTTAAAGGGAAGCAGTGACAGAGGAAATTGAGGACAGATAAATGTCTGAGGTAACCAACACATCAGCAGAAAGAATACACACAGCTTGCTCCCACAGAGAGCTGTGCTTTAACAGCAGGAATGCTAGGCTCCGTCAGCCTTTCCTCTGTCCTAACGTGGTCCTAAAGGGTGGTAATGACAGGTAACCAAACAAAATTCTTTCATCCTAGCCCTGTGCTCCCATTTTTACTTTTATGATCTTATCAATCTTGAATATATTCAAAGAAGCTTTTCTTTGTCTTCTGCCTTGGCCCAGAGGACTTCTACCCCTCAGTCATAATTTTAATTTCCCCATTTGAATAATTATACTACTCTGGGATAGTAGCCCTGGTGGGATTTCGCCCTTAACCCTGCATCCCTATAACTAGCATTGTCTGGCACATGGTAGAATCTAATAAGTGTTGAAAAATTATTAAATGAATAAGTAAATAAGACAAATAAGTTCATTTAAATATGAAGTAAATTATGTGTATCCTTGTAAACCTAACTTGTGACTATAGATATTTTCCCAGTGGTGGTAGACAGGTGATTCTTAATAATTTCCAACAGGGAAGTTAGACACAATTATTTAATTCTCATTTCCCTAAAAAATAGGGAACTCCAGATAACAGTTAATTTTGATTGACTGTTTCCATGAAATGGCTCAATTATTCAACCTCGGAACCATAGGAAGACTAAAAATACACTCTTCAGTCATGGACAGGTTGTCCTTCTTTGCCACCACCCAGTGGCAAGAAGGCTTAGAATCAGGATGAATCACTAACTACTATTTCACTGTAAGAGAAAATACAATTAATGATCATTAAAATAAAAGAAACAATTATCTTAACATGTAGTTATTTTCCTCATTATTCTAATGGAATATTTTGTACCCTGCCACTGAAAATACCATATTCTGTTGTAATAACTTCACTTCCTCTCACAAGATTGAGTTTCTTGAGGCCAGGTATCTTATCAATGAAATTCAATACCTCCTATACAAATATAGTAGTGTTTCCTTAATACATACTTTTGAGTAGATGTTCAATAATAAGAGCTAATAAATGAACAATATTTTTGAAGTTCTGACAGAAGGACTCTAGTTACGAAGATTGGGAAATGATAGAAATAATGAGATATTGCTTGATGGTTACTGAGTTTCTATTCGTGATGATGAAATTTTAGGGAGTGAATACTGCTGGTGGTAGCATAATGAAATGAATTGAAATTGTAAATGTTATTATGAATATTTTACAAAAACACAATAAATCCCTCTTTAGTCTCCATAAATGTATCCATAGTCTTCAAACACCACACTACAACTAAGTCAACTGTGTATAGGCTGAATCTCAGAACTTCGAAACAGAAAGACTAGTATAGATACTGATGCTGAAAATTGGCAGGAATGCTTAGGAGCATAAAAGTGTCTGATATTAGACAATATAATAAAAACTTGACTCTGTGAAAGACTGGTGTGAGATTAATGTACAAAATTGTGTAAGAGTATAGACAGGTTACTTGTTTTTATTTCTTCAAAAATACCCAAACACAAGTCAATAGATACCTCATCTCTTATGGAAGGCAAAATTGTGCTAAGACAAAGGAAGCTGTTTGGAGACAGATTATCTGTCAACCCTACCTATACTGCATTATCTTTAGTATTAGCAGGAAGCTCAGTGTTTTAGGAATTCTTATACACCCAAAAGGCTGTTATCATATGAGGTAAACAGAATGAGTCTGCAGTGACCTGCAAGTTATTTGTATATAAATCTCATCACTCTGGAATATCAGGAAAATGTAAAGATTTTCAGATATGAGGTGAATATAAGTAGCTCCAAAGTCTCATCATTTCTAGTGAGAGAGGAATGTGTGCTATGACTTTCCCATTGATGTGTGTGTATCCACACCCTCAAAATAAGTCACCCAGCAGTTATCTTCCTAGCCTATAAACCTAATTCTAGGTTCAGAGAATCCTGAACTCTCACAGCTATCTCAGCCCTAGGGTTGACATGCTTAATTAAAAATACTATTGGTATAAGAAAGTGCTGGCAAGCAATCAGGGTGTGTGTGTGTGTGTGTGTGTGCACATGCTCATGTACTCATGCTCACTCATTTGAAGTGACAACTAAATATTTCTATGACTCCTTTTCTTCTACTGCCAGCATATGGGATTTCCATACGAAGCGAGACTAAATTCTCCTGGACACTGCCTCTTGACCTTTCCCTGGTAAGAATAAAGAACCATATGCTCAATAACTGTAGGGCTGTTAATTCCAGGAAAATGGAACTCTGTACATTTAGCAGATGGAAGGGAGTTGTACTAAATACTTCAAAACTCTCAGATAATACATGATACTGGCTTGCTAGGTTCATAGAAGCTTGAATCTCTACTCCAAAGGTAGGAGGTGCTGGAAAAAGTGGGACGTTAATTATAATTCCTCTCAGTGGATGTCAAGGGTGCACTGAGGACATAGCTACCTTCTCTCCACAAAAAAGGCCAAGTATCCTCTGGCGGATCTGTTTGGTATTAATGCCATAAACTAGAGGATTGAGAACAGGGGGCACGAGCAGATACAGATTTGCAAGAACAATGTGAATATGAGGAGGTACTTTGTGACCAAAGCGGTGGGTGAAAAAGGAAAAGAAGGCAGGTACATAGAAGACAAGAATCACACAAATGTGGGCGCCGCAGGTGCTAAATGCTCGAAACTGGGCATCCTTCGAGGGCAGGCGCAGCACAGTCTGCAGGATGAGGCCGTAAGAGGCAGCGATGAGGACCACATCCATGCCTGTGACAGAAAGCGCTACCGTGAGACCATAAATGGTGTTGGGCTTGATGCTGGCACAGGCCAGCTTGGCAATGCCCATGTGCTCACAGTAGGTGTGGGGGATGATGCGATGGCTGCAAAATGGTAAGCGCTCAATGAGAATGATAAAAGGGAAAACAAAGATTATGCTACGGACCACACACGCCAGACCAATCTTTCCAATCACTGCGGCATTGAGGATGGATGTATAATGAAGCGGTCGGCAGATGGCTACGTAGCGGTCAAAAGCCATGGCCAGCAGGACCGCTGACTCTGTGGCGAACACTGCATGAACAAAAAACATCTGGGTGAGGCAGCCATGGTAGGAAATCAGGTGCGACCTAAGCCAGAAGATTGTTAGCATTTTGGGCAGGGTGGTTGAACACAAGACCAGGTCTGTGAGCGATAGTAAGCACAGGAAGAGGTACATGGGTTTGTGCAGAGCTCTGTCCGCCTTGATGATATGCAGGATAGTGCCGTTACCGGCGAGAGCAAGGATGTACATGGAACAGAAGGGGATGGCAATCCAAACATGCTGGTCTTGCATTCCCGGGATACCAAGCAGAAAAAATGAAGAAGGATGCAA